GAGTCTGTAGTTTTTATAGGACACTGCTCAGAGGATTCCAGCTAGAGTTTGATCAAGGAGAGAAACTTTGTTAATTCCCATGTAGGAAATGGGAGTATACATTATTTTCTTCTTGCATATAAGGAAACTCCACATTTCAACTGTCCCTTTTCTTCCTGTTTTGAATGCAGTTGTATGAGAATGTGATGCTTGGAGCTGCACCAACTATCTTAAGAACATGAGGAAAGAAACAAAAAGGTGAACTGAATAGTCAACTTCCTAAGAATAGTAATTTGGAAAGTTAGAGACTTGACTGTGAGGAAAGTGGAGTTCGTTTGGTTAGGCCCTCTCGCCTCATATCCCACTGGGTATGATTCAGCACATCCTTTGCAAGCAAGTTACGTAAGAGTAGAGTTAGTGCCCATGTGCACCCGTGTACCCCCTGGGCTTGTTGCTGCTTTTGTGTACTTTCAGTATGGAAGGCAGTGGCTCTGAACCGCTGGTCAGAGGAGCTCGTGTCTGAAGAATAAAGCACGTCCACTCTGCTGTTGGCTACTCGGTTTTTCTTTCGCTTACCTGACTCAGGACTTGCACAGGATGGGCCAGAGGGATCTGTGATCCAGCCTGACACTTGACCTTTGATGACATCACTGAATCATGGATCTGTTAAAATAATTACATAAGAGACCATTAGACTGAAGAGGCTCTCATGCTCTGGGTTCCTTAATAAGTAAACCAAATTCGAACTCAGAATTTAAAAGAAAATAAAACTTAAGCTCAGCCAATCAGTCTGTCAACTGGGCATCATTTATATTGTGAGCTTCCCAATGGGAATAGTTCACATAAGGCAAATGGTCAAAATTTAACCAAATAGTTTCTTTGCTCTGTGTCTGCATTCACCTTGTGAAAGCCTTCTCCTGGTGCCCCTTCAGGGAAAACCGGAACCACTTCGAGGTTGGAGCTGCTCTAGCCATGAATCTCTGTCTGCTTAAATAAACTCTTAAAAATTTTAACGTCCTAAAATTTGCCTTTTTTTTTTTTGTCTTTTTGTCTTTTTCCGTGTCCGGCAACGGATCGCAACCCTCAGTGTTGCCCCCACACCGGACCGGGGACCGGCATTGGGATCGCAACCCTCGGTGTTGCTCCCGCGCCTCGCTCAGCCAGTGAGCGGGAACCGGTCTGTATGTGGGATCTGAACCCTCGGGCGGGAGCGCCGCCGCGCTTCCCAAGCGGCGCACTATCCAGTGCGCCACCGGGCCGGCCCCCTAAAATTTGCCTTTTAACAGTTGCAGATCTGAAACCATCTATTTCCAGGCACCCCTTAAAAAAAAAATAAAGTTAGCTTAAAAATAGCTTGATCTACTGAAAAATTGCAAATGTAGTACTACTGTACAGAGAATTCCCGGATACCTCTCACCCTATTTCTCCTATTCTTATTATACTAATATGGGGCATTTGTCACAAATAACATTGGAATAGTCGTATTAACTAAGCTCATGCTTTGTTTGGATTTCACTAGTTTTTTCCCTAACATCCTTTCTCTATTGCAGGATCCCTTCCAGGATACCACATTACATTTAGGTATCATGTCTCTCTAGTTTCTTGTGGTTTATGACAGCTTGTCAGAGCTTACTTATTTTTGGTGACAGAAAACATGTTTTAGGAGTACTGGTCAGGTGTTTTCGTGGTTTGTCTGTTTTCTTCGTGGAAGAACCGGGACTATGAGTGTTGGGGAGGAATACTGCAGGAACATGCTGTTACCGAATTAGGCTCTTTCATCTCAATGTCATCGATACAACAAAGTACCTAGTGGAATTTAAGGCAAGCAATGCTTTATGAAAAAGGGATAGACTAATGCATAAGGGGGTCAGCAATAGAAAGGCCATCTCCCCAAGAGAACTTGAGGAAAGGTTTTTAAGGCAAGCAGTTCCTCAACTGACCTCAGCATCTTGCCTTGATGATTTCTGATCTCTTTATGGGGGTCGTGAGGGGTGTCAGTTCCAGGAACATCCTGTGTTGAACTCCCAAAGATGTCTTAAGTTTAATGTTAATTTAATTTTTACGAGTATAGGAAAAGAGAATGAGTAGATAATTTCAAGTTTTAAATAAATTTGTTATATTTTAATAAGCCTTGGGGAAGGGTTTTTGCGACTCAGCGAATATCTGTTCCCCTCTTAACTCAGTTTACTTTATCAGGAGGGGCCATAAGGTAATCATGTGCCTTGAGGGTCTCATGTCTGAGGAGTGGCAAAGGGAAATGTAGTCAGTTTGCTTCATAGGCCTAGACCTATTCTGTCTCAACATGATTCATCCCTGATGATGTTAACCTTGGCCACCTGGCCAAGGTGGTGTTTGCCAGGTTTCTCTACTGCAAAGTTACTTTCCGCCTCCTGTCAAACTCTTTGAAATCAAGTCGCTAAGCACAGCCCATAATCAAGGCTGGAGGGTAGGAGTGGGTGAGGCAGAAATTGAGCTCCTTCTCTAGGAAGGGGTATTTACATCAATTATTTGTTTATTTATTTATTACATCAATAATTTAGAATTCTCCTGTAAGGCGGGTATTGGGACAGACCAGAAATGGCGAAATGGGTGTCCAGCAAACTCGCGAGGCCGCGACCTGGCGGGCGGAAGGAAGGTGGGGAGGGGCGGGTCCGGGCAAAGCCACCCCGGTCGAGGGGCCCGAGGACAGGGCGGGCCAGGGAAAGGTCCGCATGCCTTAGATAGCTTGTCTTCAACTGCGTAAGGGAAGACTCCGCAGGCCGGCTCTTCAGAGTCCTGGTGGCCTGCCCGAGGGTCACTGGGTTTCCTCAGCCCTAGCTCGGGAGGGGACATGAAGGTGTGGGGTTGGGGATTTCGCCCCCAGCTGTGCTGGGGGTCTGCGGGGAGTCAGGGAAGCTGCGCATGCGCGCGTCGGGAGGCTGCGGTCTGCAGAGGGAAGTGAGAGCGCTCCGCCGGGCCGCTGAGGACGTGGGTTGCCAAGGACTGCGGCGGGCCTGATGGCGCGCAGCCTCTCCCTCTGTCGCTTCGGCCCGCATCTTTTTTTTTTTCTTATTTTTTTGTCCTTTTTGAGACCGGCCGCACCGCGCTCAGCCAGTGAGCGCACCGGCCATCCCTATATAGGATCCGAACCCGCGGCGCCAGCGCGGCACTCTCCCGAGTGCGCCACTGGGCTCGGCCCACCGCATCTTCAACTTGCGTTGATCTGGGGCGCCTTCTCGGTTTCTACTGCTTGCGGCCCGCGCACCGCCACAGCGGGGAGGGCGGGGGCTGAGCCCGAAGCACTTCCGGGTCGGGCCTCCGTTGCTGGAGCGGGGTCGTGTAGGAGCTTTTCTTAGTTTTCAATTCATTGGCTTAGAAAGAGGAACTGAATTCGGATCGCAGACCCTCACCGGGTCTGGTATTATCCTGTGCTCTGCAGTTTCCTCTTGTCACTTGGAAGTCGTTCATTTAGCGAGTATTGCGCAGTCGCCTGGTGGATGCGGAGGAGCCTGAGGCACCGGGGTCTGAGACCCACCTGGCTGGAAAGTGGCGGGGGAAGCGGAGTGGGGCGGGGACAATAGGGTGCCCTCCCACGTAGAGTTTGAGGATTGTGGGATCGAGGACGCTGCCTTTAGCCGTGGCTGTCACCCGGGCTGAACGTGCTACGTTTAGCCGTGGCTGTCACCCGGACTCCACGTGAGAATCATTGGGGCGCAGGTGGAGAGCTCGAGCCCTGAATCCTGGGACCGCACTCTCCGGCTTTGGGTGGGTAGATCGGACAATGAGTCTTCCACAGCTGAAGTGGGGTATTAATGTTGCCTGCAGTTCTTGTCTCATCATTTACTTTTGTCTTGGTATTTTTTAGGAGTATATTTTAAAACCAAGTATATTGCTTAAATACACATACTGTATATGTATGTAAGTAATACTCATGCCACTTATGTACTCATATTATGTTGCAGAATAGAAGGATACAAAAGTAATAGTAAAAGCCCCCTTCCCAGCACGTTTTTGGATATCCTTCCTTAAACCCTCTTTGTTTTATAAACATATATAATGTGCTCAACCCAAAAGGGATCGTTTAATTTATAATGTTCTGAAACTTAATTTTTTCACTTAATATGTCTTGGATATTTTTCCATCTTAGCATACACCTTCTTCCTACTAATGGCTCCACTCCATTGCCCGTATCGTGCTGGTGTGTTTAATGGATTTCATTTGTTATGCTTCCAAGGAAGTAGCATGTGGAAATTCTAGTAGCTGTTTTAAATCTTATCATCATCACTTTGCTTTCCTGGCCCTCATTCCCTAATCTGTTGCAGACACCCATGTTCAGGATCATGGTATCTGACTAAGAACAAACCACTGTTTACTGCATACTGAAAGGGGATTTTTTTTTCTCTATGACTTTTTAGCTGTTGGGGGCTCCTTGGCTACTGTTTATTCTAAGTGTGGTTAATTTAACTTGGCGGTTTTGTAAATGTTGACTAAGATTGAGATGTGTAAGTCATCAAAGCACACATTATGAAGTCAGTTATGCAGATTTCCAGGATTAATACGTATTCAGTAGGTCCTCAAGGTAAACTATTTTACGGGGACCAATATGATGGGCATCTCATTACTTCAGGGATTTGGTATGGTAGGGATTTTATTATGGCTCATGGTATAAACCTTTGGTGTACAAAAACACTTTACAGAAACAGTTTACCAAAATATACGTATGTATATTTAAAGATACAGAAGAACAACTAGCAAGTAAGGCAAACAAATGCTTTTTATTTTAGATTGGGCACCCACAGAAACTACAGTTTTAGTATGCAGAAGGGACGAGGGAGAACAAGCCGGATCAGAAGACGAAAACTCTTCAAAAGTTCTGACTCAAGAGGAGGTACAGTTTTGTTTCTTCTAGTGCCAGAGATGAAAACAAGAAATCCTTTGTTGGTTGGTGTCTATTCATACACATAGCTTTTCTCAAAGGCACAGGGATAATGTTCAAAGAGAATATTTCTTAAAGAACACTCTCTTAAATGGTGCCATTATATTCTTTAAATCCTGGAGGAAATATGTATATATTTAACTCATTGCTTCAACTGTCTTCTCTGGGGATGACTCCCAGGTTTCTGTTTTTGGTCCTGACTGTTAGCTACCCGTAGGATATCAGTGTTTGGATGTAAATTCATCATTTCAAATTCAGTGTAATCCAGTCTGAATGAGATATCATACGGTAATCCCCCTTTATCTGTGGGGGGTATGTTCCAAGACCCCTAGTGGGTGCCTTGTTAGCTACCCGTAGGATATCAGTGTTTGGATGTAAATTCATCATTTCAAATTCAGTGTAACCCAGTCTGAATGAGATATCATACGGTAATCCCCCTTTATCTGTGGGGGGTATGTTCCAAGACCCCTAGTGGGTGCCTGAAACCACAGATAGTACTGAGCGCTCTATATACTGTTTTTCTTATGCTTGCATGCCTATGGTAAAGTTTAATTTATAAATTAGTCACAGTAAGAGATTAATAACAATAATAATAAAATAGAATGATTATAAGAATATGCTGTTTACAATTTCATGGGCAGACGATTCATTCTGAGCACAGAATTTAACCAGCGTATGATTTTTTTTCTTAATAGTCAAGAACTTTCACCTTTTCACTTAAAAGGAGCACTTTACGGGTTGTCTTTGGCATATCTGAGTTGCCAGCATCACTACTCTTGCGCTTTGGGGCCATTATTAAGTAGAATAAGGGTTACTTGAAGACAAGCACTGTGATCCTGTGACAGTTGGTCTGATGACTGGCTACTAAATAACTTAATGGGCAGATAGAGTGGACAGCATGGAGACACTGGACTAAGGGATGTTTTGGTCCCTAGCAGGACAGAGCAGGAAGGTGCAAAAGATTTAATCAAACTACTCAGAATGGCCTGCAATGGAAAATTTATGAATTATTTCTGGCATTTTCCATTATTTTCGGACCGTGGTTGACCTCAGGTAACTAAAACTGTGGAGAGCGAAAGTGCAAATAAGGAAGGCATGCTGTTGGGCCGGCCCGGTGGCACACTGGATAAGTGCGCCGCTTGGGAAGCGCAGCGGCGCTCCCGCCCGAGGGTTCGGATCCCACATACAGACCGGTTCCCGCTCACTGGCTGAGCGAGGCGCGGGAGCAACACCAAGGGTTGCAATCCCGTTGCTGGTCCCCGGTCCGGTACGGGGGCAACACTGAGGGTAAAAAAAAAAAAAAAAAAAAAAAAAAAAAAAAAAAAAAAAAAAAGGAAGGCATGCTGTCTGTGAAAGTGGTTGGCCAGCTGGAAAGTCCTACGTAAATTCAACCGCTATTTGTATACAAATTGATAATGCTCCTCCTTGTTGACCCCAAGCCTTTCAGCATCATCTTAAGGTAATCTTTGCACTCCATAGTCAAAGTCCTCCTGAATCTTGCCTGGCTTTTCTTAGTTAGCTTCTCCCTCTCCATTCTGCTACTTGTACATCAGCATGATTTCAGCTAGCACTTTGCTGGCTTGCCTGCACCCTTGTTTGCTGCCCCATTTGTGTCTGTCAGTGTAACTTTCCTAAAGGACTGCTTCCATGATACCTTTTTGGTTAGGAGCCTCTAGGTATCCTCATTCCCTTTTGTATGGTATCTGAACTCCTGCCTGACATTCAAGTCCCTTTATAAAGGGCTCTGCCCTGGTGACTCCATGCCTTAGAAGTGTGTCATCTCTGCTCACTGCTCTTTGAACACACCCTGCACACTTCTGTCTCTGTCATTGTTCATAATCCTTCATCCTAGAACATCTGTTTTCCTTCTGCCTGCTTGTCCACTTTCTCCAACCTTCGAGACTGAGCTAAGATCATATGTTTTTGGTAATGCCATTCCAGTTCTCATGAATGTTGTCCTTTGCTGTCCGGAGCCATAGAGCCCAGCTGTTGTCTAAGTGCCTGCCTGCCTGTCCGGAGCCAAAGAGCCCGCCCAGCTATTGCCTCGAGGCCTCAGAGCCTTGTTTGCTGTTATCTTCCGTCCCTCCCCCTCCTGTGCACTATGGGTGTAGGTAACTTTGCAACTTGCCATAGATAACGAGAATTTTCCATTTACCAGAACAACCGCCCTGCGGTTTTCTCAGTAAACCATCTGCTGCTTACTTCCTTATTTGCTGATTCCCTCCTGTTGTCTATATAAGCTGTGACCTACTGGCTAATAAACGAGACTTGATCAGAACACTGTCTTGTCTCAATTTCTCGCGTCTCTTGTTCCATCCCATTCCCCCCCGCCCCCCCCAGGGTCTGCGTTGAATATCCCGCGGGTCGGGACACTTTGCTATTATGCTTATTGTGTGTTACTCTTAAGGACCTAATGCTTTTCCACTGGTTTCTCATAGAAGCCTGTTTCCCAACTAAATCGTCATTTTTTGAGGGTGAAAAACATGTTGCATGTTCCCCATAGTGGTTAGCATAGTGCTGTGTGTGTAGTAGTTGCTCATTAAATGCTTACCAATTTATTGCCCTTGCTGTAAAATCTGTTCTCTAGTTTTTGATAACATTTTGGGAGCCTATGTCTTAAACTGATTTTTTAAAAAATATAATCTTTTGAGTATAATTGTCATAACAAATGTCTCATATTTAAAGTGTGTAATTTGGGCCGGCCCGTGGCTCACTCGGGAGAGTGCGGTGCTGATAACACCAAGGCCACGGGTTCGGATCCCATATAGGGATGGCCGGTTCGCTCACTGGCTGAGCGTGGTGCTGACAACACCAAGTCGAGGGTTAAGAT